GAGTAGGAAACCTAAGCAAACATTGGGAGAGCATACAAACTCCACACAGACAGATCCCCACCCCCTGGGACCTGAGCCCAGTGCAAGGCAGCAACACTAACCAGTGCGCTACCGTGCTGCCCCCCATCTGACTGATACAACTCCAACTTTTCCTTTTTCTTCTGCCTTGAGGTGTGGATGATTTTAAAAAGATTCAGAAAACCTCCAGGAGTATGGACAGAGAGAGGCAGGTTTGGGAACCTTTGATAACTTAGTATGTTCTTGGATTTTACCTTCACTCAAGAATGTAATCCCATCCATTCCTGCCATCAGTCTAGTGTCGCCACAGGACGTCCAGATGTTCTCTATAGACCACTGGGTTTTAAACTGGGGTGCACACCCCCCCCCCCCGGGGGTGCAAGATGCCCTTTAGCTGGGAGTGCGAGACATGCCAGTTTTTTTTAGAAGGTAAATCGCTGAAAACACTAATTAAGCACAGACACTTAAGCACAACTACTTTCATCAAACCTTAGTATTTTAAAGTCAATGTAAAAAATATATTCTTAGTTTTGCTGCAAATTTAAAAAAATATATATAGTTCTCTCTCTTTCATTCAATAGTTATGATACATTTCAAGTTTAGAGAACTGACCTGCTTCAGCGATTTCTGATCAGGGGTGCGTGAAGATATTTTGAGAACCAAGAGGCTGCAAGCTGCAGTAAAGGTTAAGAACTGCTGCTATGGACACATGGGAGATCTGTGAGCTGCTATTGGAAAATGAGAGAGTCCACTATAGTGGGTGACTGCTCTGTCTGTGACCTGAATCCCAGTCCCATCAAAAGCTGGCTGCAGCCATCAGCAGGTGACAGATGTGACTCTGGGAGACCTCACTGCAGCGTTGTGGGAAACATTCACAGCAAAGTGTGTGTGTGTGTGTGTGGCATCAGGAAAACGGACAACAGTGCCAGATGCTCCGGACTTGAATGGGATGTTTGCTGCATCTTTCAGCCAGTGGTAACTCAACACACACGCGGTATGGCGTGGAGAGGAATGAGTGTGGTCTGGGGCTTGGCTGGGATTTGGGCCAATAAAACAAATTAAAGGCTTCAGACTGCAGCGAGCTTGTCTGGGGTTTGTTTCAGAAGACATGGTGCTGCTGCCGGCTACAGTGATGGATGAGGGGGAGAGGGAGGTCACCTTGGGCGCCCATCCCATGTTTAATGTGCTGATGAAAATAGTTTGACCTGGAGGGGGGAACGGGGGCCGGGGGTGAAATTACTTTGGGGCCATAGGAGCCCCTCTATAGCGCTGTCCCGTGTGGGTGGTTTCAGACCGTGTCCTCTGGATAGCCTTGCAGAGTTCACAGAGGAGACTGAGCCTGTACACAGACTACACGGAGGCTTTCCAGCTTTTGAGATTACCCCCCTTCCATTTCTCGCTAATGTAGTACACCCCTGCAAGAGCCTGAGGCGTCTTGCTTGGCAATAAGAAGGCAGAAGCAAGCATGTATATTGTCTAAAAACACACCCAGAATCTGCTAAGATAAGATCACTTTAATGGCCATGTACAATTTCTTGCATTAGGAATTTGTCTTTTCGCAGACCCCAGCTTGCTCTCCATGAGACACACAGACTGGGAGAGAAGCTTGGGGTCAGAGCGCAGGGTCAGCCATTTATACGGCGCCCCTGGAGCAGTTGGGGCCCAACAGAGTAGGATTCCCCTGTGGGTTGTGGGATACGAACCGGCAACCTTCCAGCCACAGGCACAGATCCTTAACCACAGTGCCACCACACCGCCCGGTATGTTACTGATATGCTAGATATGTTATGATCAGTTCTATCTATATATATTCCTATACATACAGTAAATGTACCACAGACAATTTGGTTAAAATGCTTGACATTTTATCAACTTTTAATATGGGTCCTTAGATGTGAACTTTGACTAGTACTTCAGACACAACGTGGGTTACAGGTTCTCGCATTAAGAACAAGATCACAGAGAGAATTTTCTTCAGGACAGGGGTGACTTAGATGATCACAATCTTTTACCATCCCTAATGAAGTGTAGTCACCATATTTAAGTTTGTTCCTATATTGAGCCACAGTGGCTCTGTGGGCCAGAGTTTGTACTGGTTTCTCACCTCACTGTATAACAGCAGCTGACTTGAACCCACAGCCCACCAGTTACATGACTAGAGATGTACCAGCCATGCTACACTGTCCCCTAAGCAATCACCATGTAGACAGTGGTGCATGTCTTTTGCTAACATTATATAGGATCTGTCTTTTTTTATCTAACATGCAGAGATATTAAACAGCAGTTGTGAACATGTTGGCTATGATCTTCCAGGGGCATGACCCCCCCAAGCTGAGGCCCTAGAGACCAGCTGAGTCTCCAGTGGGTTTATTTATGTTTGCTAGTTTAATGTCAATGGAAAATGTACTGTATAATTTTTATGTTTATTGCTCTTTCAACCATTTCAGTCCAAAATCTGTACCCTGGCTCTGTTAAGCCAGGGTGTATTCTGGAACTCGAGAAGTATCTTTTTTTCAGTTCCCGTTTTCCTCACTCCATCAGGTTTTTCCATTTAAATGAGACGGCATGCTCATGATGGCTCTCTCCAGCTCTGCAGTTGTTAAAGTTTCAGGTAAGGCTTACTCAGCTGCATCTGGGCTCAGTCTGCTCTTCTGCACAGGTGTGCGGCATTATGAAGACCTGTCCACACCCATAACCAAGGAAGAGGCTCATGCTATTGGCCAGATTGTGGAAGAGGCGGTTCATACTGTCCTGCCGGGGGCGGAGCTCACTATCACTGGAGGATTTAGAAGGTAGGCGTGGCTTCGTGGTGTTTTAACATCGATAGGTGCTGATGTTGCATTTTGTTTCTTCGAACAGGTGCAGTTGTTTACTTGATTACACGTTTAAGTTGAGTGTGTAGCAGTGACTATGGAAAAGTTGGTTATTAGAATACAGTTGGTAGGAGAATCAGGAAAGTCTGTGTTCGATCACTCCACTTTCTCTCCCTCCCTCTGCAGAGGGAAGAAAACAGGCCACGATGTTGACTTCCTCATCACACACCCAGAGGAAGGAAAGGAGGTGGGACTTCTGCCCAAAGTCATCAGCTGGTTGGACAGCCAGGTAAAGGAGAGGGGCGAGCATAAGACTTCAGATTCATCCAATGCCTCAAACCAAAGGGAACATACTGTGTTAAGGTGTGGAATGGGAGGGAATAGTTCCCTTGTGCGAGATCTTTACTCTCTTTTTTTAAAACGTTTTAAAAACTCTTAAGAAAGTAAAACAGCAAGGCTGCTGAGTGGTTTATCTAATACTAGAGCCCACGTGGAGCACAGTCCGAGCCCTTTATTCATCCTCACTTTAGACATCGCAGACGGACAGGCTGCAGACACCTATTCCTGTTCCTGACACCTGTTGTAGCTGTAATAACTGGGGACTTTCATTACCCCTTTCATGGATGTCTGTGTATTCATAAACACTGAGAGATTCTGCATTGCTGAATGAAACAGTACAGTAACAACGTAAAAAGTGTTTTCTTAGATTTGGTGCTGGAGGTTTTGAATTGGAGAACAAGTGCTGTTTGCAAGACCGGTTCTTATCTTTTCTGGACACTTCTTACGTTCAGAGTGATGGCTGTGATTTCCTGCTGTTCTGGCTTGTGAATCCCACTGTGTCTGCTTTTCCAGGACTTGCTGCTGTATCACAGGGTGAAGGACAACACGTACTCAGAATCAAAGGTACAGCTGGCTCGCTCCCAGAGCAGCATGGACCACTTCGAGAGGTGCTTCTCCATCTTTAGGCTGAACCGCCCTCTTGCCAGGCCACCAGAGCCTGGAGCCTCAAGTGGAGGGACAGCCCAAGAGAGTGCAGCCTCTGGGGGTCACTGCTCAGGCGAGCCCAGGAGCTGGAAGGCCGTTCGTGTGGACCTGGTGGTGACACCTGTTAGTCAGTTTGCGTTTGGCCTCCTGGGCTGGACTGGTTCACAGGTACAGTGTTCATGCCTGGGTCACTCCAGGAACTGTTTAGAAATATTTATACTTCTGGTTTTGTTTTTTAATTCATCGGGACAAGTAATTTATTGGAATGTTTCTTGTGCGCCACAGCTGTATAAAGGACCAACATTCTCTAATTCTGTGGCTCCTTAAGATGGATTTTGTCCAAGACCTTTATTTTTAAGTAAACCACATGTGCCTTTGCAGAAGGGAAAGTGCAATTAGAACTGAGAACAGGAGGCTTTTTCTATGCACATAGGGTTGTCTGGGACTGGAACTAGCAACCCAGCTACAGTGGAATAGTCAAAAATTAGTGGATCAGATCGTCTGATCAGTTAGCTACTAACCACCAAATAAGCTAAACCAAACAAATGCCCCCTCTCATTTGTAATTGTTGTGATGTTAGACTGTAACACAACCCAGCAGTCTTGCAGGGCAACAATATTGTCCTGTGAAATCTAATCACTTGCACTTATTATCATTATTGTCTTTGATTATTTCAAAGATCTTAAAAAAAAAAAGGGTTGTACAAGATAAGACAGAAAATAACCTTCATTTGAAACTGCAGTTTGGTGAACAGCTGCTGTCTGACAAAAGTGGAGAGCCTAGCAGCAGTGTTCTATTAATGCCAGCACAGTCTCGCAGACTTCCCTGTTATTATTACACAGACAGCAAGGACTGCTGTGCTCCAGTTTCTCATCACAGTCCGGCCATCAGGTGTCTCAAACCGGGGGACCAGGCGCTAATTACTTAATTAAGTGTCTGCTCAGGTTAATTAACAAGCTGAGTTCCTGTGGCTCATCCCAGCCTTCCGGTTCCCCCTCACCCCCACCATTTCCCAGATCTCGATCTCTCCTGTGAGTCTCTGGTCTCCGCCTTCTGTCCGTTCTCGCTCTCCTCTGGCTTCCTCTTTTTCTTGACCTGCTTTATGTAATCATCACCTGTGCTTCTCTCTCCCCCTCCCTCAAACTCGGATTCAAACAGCTTTATCGGTATGACTGGTAAATTAGTGTTGCCAAAGCATATACAATTGATACATCATCTACATACATTTAGAAAACAGATCTGTCTCTCTGCTCTGTCTGCAGCACTTTGAGAGGGAGCTGCGTCGCTGGGCAGGGCAGGAGAAGCACATGACCCTGAACAGCCATGCTCTCTACGACAGGACACAGGTGAGGCCGATGCACCCTCTCGCATCTTACTCCAGATTCTCGCTCTTTTTATTTACTCTCCAGTCCTCTGCCCAAATTCCTCTTCACACAAGGTGAAAGTAGATGCAAAACAAGTTTTTGTTTTTTTTAATTTTAAATCCCAACGCAGATGTCTTTTGGGTTATTAAAAAAAAAAATCAGTTTAAACACAGACAGCCAGCATTTCCATCCCATCCCCACTGAAAAGTTTTTTTTTTTCTGGGGATGAAACACGTCGCTCCATGGCGTAATGACGGTGTCGATGCGCGTGCAGGATGGATCGCGTGAGGACACTCGGTCGCGTCTGTGAGTGGGGGGCACTTTCCCTGCGGGGTGCCGGTTCGTGTTCGGCACGCGCCCATCTGGTGATGCAGACGAGTGCGCTGGGCCCTGCTGGAGGAGACCGCCTGCGTGCACCAGACCCCACGCCTTCCCCTTGTTCCCATAAGCCCGCTCCTCAAGAGGCAGTTCCCCTCCAGGGGCACGCTCGCCTTTCCCTGCTTGTGAACTGCTGCTGAACCCCGTCTCTCCCCGAGTGAAGGAGCTTGCATATAGGCTTCCCGAGCTTCATTTGTTATCCCGGGAGCAGGCACACCTGAATGACTGACTGGATCCCTGCTGTCCTCCTGGTGTACATCCAGGGGCTCAGACAGCTGTCCTGACTAATTCTCGCTCAGGTCTTCTACAGTTGGAAGTGTGATCGTTATTCCGCAGCTCACAGCCAGCCCAGCAGATGGAATGTGTACGAAAATGTCGTGACTCACCAGGCTTTGCTGTAAGCGGGCAGAAGTGTGAGCCCTGTTATTAAAGGTCTCTTTTTCTGACGCAGAACGTGTTCCTACCCGCCAGCTCCGAAGAGGAGATTTTCTCCCATCTGGGGCTGGAGTTCATCCCCGCTTCCGAGAGGAACGCCTGAACCCTGGCCCACACAGGTCTCTGTGGGAACGGTGTCTGAATCACTCCGGCATCAGTTCCTGAGGGACAGACATTTACCACCCTTGGACCCGAGTCCTTGCAGCGACACCCTGGCCAGGAATCAAAGAAACAGATGTGGGAACTCCTTCTCCTCCCCTGCAAGAGCAGAGGAACTTTCTACATACCACTTTAAAACCTTTTAGCTTTTTAAATAAATGAATAGAAATCGGGGGCATTTTTTGGACATTTTTACAACGTGGTGGTCAATCAGAATCCCCAGAATCAAGCCAAAGACAAAGAGGGGCAGGTTACAGCAAACATCAGTACAAAGGGTGTAGCAGCCCCTCAGACTTCCTTATTGCAGGGGAGAGAGTTGAGAGAGACCCCTAAGGAATGGCTCATCAGCCTGACAGGCTTCAGAGGGGTAATAATGGACCTAGAGGACAGTACATTAAAAGCTCAGGCAGCCTGTGAGAAAGGACTGAACCTCACTGGTTTGATCAGGAGCTAAATTAGAATTGCAGAAGATGATCAAAAGTGGGACTGCTGGCTCTGCACATTTTGCCTCAATTCATTCTTTTTATTATGAGGTACCCCTGGGCAGACTTTGAAAACTCCCCAGGCAGCACCTGGCACATCTGTTTCACGTCGGCCTCTGGAAGAAATGTTCGCCTTTCTTCCGCGTTATTCAGCGCAAGTGCTTGTTTTCCTTACCCTCGAGACCCAAGTTCTTTATAAACCGAATTCAGACTGAGTTATTTGGTACTGCCGATGAGATAAGTGCTATACTTCAACACGTGAGTCACTGGAGAAGACGCTCACTGCAGCTCCGAAGACTGCATTCGCTGTGAGCAGCTTCATTTTCCACAGATCGCACGCTTTGAGTTTCTTTGAGGCAGGGGGAATAGTTGTGGTTGTGAAAAATGAGGCATAGTCAAAGCGCAGTTTTGACTATAATTTAGTTGCGCAACACAAAGTAATTTACCTGCACAAGCTGCTGGGACATGCCACCTCTGAACCTGATATTGGAGCTTTTCTAGTTTGGGGCTTGTTATTCCTGTTTTTTTTTAGGTATGTAGTTTAACAGCAGTGATGTGTGCAAATATTTGGATCAGGAGACTTTTTCGCATGATGGAAATAAATATATAAGGTCATTGAAATGTTGATTTTTCTAATTTAATTACAGTTTTGGAGCTTATATACTGTCTTTGTCTGGCCTGTTTTCATATCTTAAAGCCATGGCAGTGAATCTGGTCTTATAGGAGAAGCTCTGAGCCTAAATTGATGTCGGGGAACTCTCTAAAAATAAGTTGAAAAGACACTTAAGAATTATGCAATAGTTGCATTAAAGCAGTACTGCACAGCGACATATCATAATAAATTAGTTATACCCTTCCCCTGGGAGTTTACGTGGTTGTGGAAGGAGGATTTTATGTAATAAAAGGCAACTGATAACTAGAAAGAAAATCCAGAAATATAGTAAAAAGAGTTCTTCTATATTTAGAGGCATTAAAATGCAACAAATACAACCACACGTTCAGTGTCTCTATAGTGATAGTACTGAGCAGAATTGCCAGAACTCCTGGCATTAGGTTTGCCTGCTACTCAGCCCATCCTGCAGCTGCAATCCCATGGTGCCCTGCTGTGCTTGCAGGGCAGGCTGGGTCAGCAGATGACCCTGTCACGTTGCCAGACATTTTGCAGAGGGATCTGTGACTGTCATTGCTCATGTGTTATAATTTAAAACCGACTACGTCCTGTAATCTGCCTGCAGTGTAGAGTAGCGGCTGGGCCTCTGGACACATAATTGGGGGGTTGCGAGTTCAAATCCCCGCTGTGGACACTGCTGTTCATATCCTTGAGCAAAGTACTTTATCTCACACTGCTCTAGTCCACCCAACTGTACAAATGGGTCCCTGCGTTGCTGGGAGTACCCTTGCAACTGTCCTCTAGCATCTTGTTTAAAGAGGAATCATATCCACTTAAGGCAACAGAAAATGGGATGAGCTCTAACCTGATGAGTCTCTGGGGCAGAGTTTAGCCTTTGCTTTAAAAACAGGATGCTGTTGTTGTTAGGGCTACATTACCTCCTTTAGCAGGGTTTACCCAACCTATACCCCCAGTGCAAACAGGCTAAAGCCGAGGACTGTGGGCCGCAGACAGGAGGAGACACAGCCTGGATCTGAACCCGTGATCTCCGCACCTTTGGGTTTCATTCAGACTTTAATGCCAGCGAGCAGCTCAGGACCAGCCCTCACAAATGGCTGAACTATAAAGCGTTTCCATGTCCTCTACCTCCCAACTCCCTTCACGGGCAAAATGAAAACCTCCCAGAGTTGTTTCCGATACCCGGACGAGAGCTGATGCCACCTGAAACATGCGGGCGTTTCCAAGTTGGCTTTTGTCCTCCCGTTCCGTTCTGAGGACAGCAACACCGACGAGGGCATGACCCGGCCGCCCCCCTTGGTGCAGACGAGGGAAGAATAAGCTCGATGTGGCCTGATTGAACAGGAGAGCTCTGCGCTGCCTTTCTTCGGCGTGCAGCAATACCTGTCAAGCTCGGTGCCTCCCGTGACACTAGAGCTTTTAAGGTTGTCTTTTCAGGAATGGGAGAGAAAATAAGAATGAGTGTAAAAACAGGGGGGTGATAAATATTTGATATGCCACGGTCGGCGGCCTCCCCCCCCGTGTGCTGTAATATTGATGGCTTGGCCCCTGGGCAGGGCTCTCTGCTCTACGCATTAACTCAGCCTGAGCCCTTCCTCTCTCTCACTACCTCCCTTGCCACTGCCTCGGCTCTCGCTGTTCTTCTCCGGCTTTTCTGACATCTGGCCGGGCTGCGTTAGACGTCCTGCAGCCTAATTTCATAACACTACTTAACTGCCTGTGTAACGCTCAGGGTTCGCACGTATGTTACTACCAGTCGCCTTTTTTTGGGGACCATGAAAAAGTTGAAATGAGATGCCCTGAGGTGGGCTGGGAGAGAAAAATTCACTGGATATGTCTTCATCCACACCGAGCTCATCGCTCTGCCCTGTCCGACTGACAGCATTAAAGTCTGGGACTCCTCCTGGGCATACTGCTGTCGAGTTTGGAATAAAATGTGATAATATCAAATTGCCATGCCAACACTGGTAAGTTCTGAGCGTTAAGGATACTGGCAAACATCCAGCTCCGGGGGACAAATCCAGAGATGAAGCCGAAAGTCATAGGCCTGATGCAGAAAGTCTTAATAAGGACTAGGAAGGATAAGAGCAAGACGTACAGTAGTTCTAGGGTGCAGACTGAACCTCTAAACAGGAATTCAGTAGTTGGGTCAAACTCTGGTTAACACCAGGTTTCTAGGATAGTGTTTTTCATGTTTACTTGTCTGGCCGAGGAGAAGGCAGACTGGCTGTAAGGTGGAGGCAGGGAATGAGCCAGGGAGCTGCTGCGAAGGTGATGGAGGAGAGAGATTTATTCATTGGAGAGCAGAAGTGGGTGAGATTAGAGTCTGCTCTCCTGATCATCTGTTTAAAAACTCCATTAAGGGATTTTCGATTTACACTTGGTTTAAATACGTGCAGTGAACTTGATAAACTCTGAAAAATCGAAATCTGTAAGGAAATAAAACGTTCCTGACCACATCTGCAAACAAGGGGAAAAGGGAAGTAAGTGAGGTGTCACAGAATCCAGGAACACAGAAACCCAAGGAAAAAAACAGAAGTCCCACGTCTCTCTGCTTCTTCCTGTTAAACACGCAGGCAATTTCAGGCAGAATATTGCTTATTTCTGTTCCAGAGTCTGGCTACGCTGTGAGGTCAATTAATTTAATTAATTTGGAGGAGGCGTTAAATTAAGGAGGCAAGCGCACTGCGCATGCCCACATCTCTGATCTGTCAGGGCTAGAGCAACTGGGTGGAATTCACGTCCCCTGCTAAAACACAACTGCTGCAGAGGGTGCCAGGATTGCCTGGGCTGTGCCCACTTCTTTTGGGTCAAATTGCGTTACTGGCACAGATAGCCAGTCAAAGAGAGGGCAAAAGAAGGCCAGAACCCAGAAATGCCTGCCTGTTTCCAGCCATCTGCAGCCGGAGCGTGGCGTCGTCCATGTAACTAAAGCACGGTCTCTTTGGCTTGACAGGCAGGGATGCAGGGAGAACAGCTGCAGGACTGAGTTCCCAAGCCAGTGTTTCCAGACGGTTGCACTGACTTTGCAGTGAAGGGAGCGTGCAGGCACCAGTTGCTCTTGGGAGAGGCCGAATAATCTCATCTTGTTAGCATAACCCCTGTTTTTTTTTAAAAGGCAATTCCAGAGGCCAGCAAGAGAGTCAGTGAGGATCTCGGAGGAGGACGGGAAAGCTAGGCCATGTTCATGTCAGATCATTGCGAATTCTTGATGTGCGGTTGAATTATTCAACGGCTTTTGCCTGAGAGTTTTTCTTTGATGGGGGGCAGCAGTGGGAGTCTTAAACACAGGCCACCCGTGGTGTAACTAGCAAGGCGGAGCGTGACCTGCGCTGCAGTCCCACAGACAGATTAACCTGCCGTGCAATTTCCTCAGACGCTCTGCTGCAATGCACAAAGCTGCCTGGCTCTGGCGTGCGTTTATAGAGAGGCGCGCCATTCATAATTGACAATGTTTGCAAATGGAAGGAAAGTGCCGTCTTGCTCAAAACAACATTAAGAGATTGACATTTGGTGCCCCTGACTAAACTGTGTTTTTCCACTTCCTGTTACTGACCTGTAATAGTCTTTGGCGCCTGGACGTGTTTTGTGCGGGAGCTGGCACCTGCTTTTCGAGCAAAGCCGACACGTTCATCACGGAGGGCGGAACCTCAAGCTCGCCAGAAGCCAGAGGAGAGGTGTGAGGGACTTGTCAGGCATCCAGGTGTCCCGGGAAAAGAGAAGTCACGAGATGTACAGTAAAAAAAAAGCCTGATAGGAGTTGTCATTCCTCGAGAGCTAACCGACCTGGAAATAAATGGTTGCAGCCAAACGGAAAATATCCCACTTCAGATTAAATAGTTTTCTGACCTCCCAGAATGTATTTTGTTAAGGTAGCGCAGACTTTAAAAGAGATCCCTCTACAAGACTACACTCCAGAGAGCCAAGGACCATCATCAAACTATTGCCACATCCATGGGTGTGTTTATACAAAGAAGAAAAGCCAACTTCTGGGGGGCGCTGTTGAGCATGGCTCAGTGTAGATGTGTGTCAGGTGCTCCTGATTTAATTTTTGTTTTTTTTTCGCAAAACAGGGTAATTTATTTCTTCTATCTGCAATAATACTGATATGTTATTATTTTAGTTTAATTTGCAATGTCCAAGTTAAAAAAACAAGAAGGAACAGTCAACAGAATCCGCTCGTCTGGACTCAGAAGCATGCCAGGCCGACAGTAACATTGCTTCGCGGGAGAGTAATGGAGAACTAACAGCGCAAGATACAAACTTCTGTTGAGTCCTTCCGATCTGAAAATCGAGAGGCAAGCGCTGCACTTGAACACCCTCGAATCCCACGGGAGCCGGCTAATCTGGTATTCCGGTCAGGGTGACGGGATTAGAGGCCACCTGTAAACATGTAAAACACATGTAAAGCACATGTAAAACACTCGCTGCGGAGAATGAGATGCTTACACAGGAAGTGGAGGACTTAGATGCGAGAGGTACTGTAGGAGAAATGATCTATGCATCGCAACCCGATTGCCTTTGTTTCTCAGCTCCTGGTTGATCTTTTAGGCAAGGATGAGCTGGACCCCCCGCCTATACGAGATCGCGCTAACCCCATCCCCTTATTCTGTGGGAGCACTATTTGCTGGTGAAGGAAAAAACACTGTGCCTGGCGAAAGACAAGGAACAACTGCTTTCAAGGGAAGCAAAGCCTTATATTTGCCAATCTCAGTGCTGATGTGGCTGAACCCCGCGCACTTTCAGCCCTGTAAAAGCGCAATTGCATGAAGCTGGGGTGGAATCCAGCCTTTAATACCCTGCGTTGCTGATGGTTGTCCATGAAAACCGTCGTCTGAAAAGCCAGCTTCTTGATTCCGGACGTTTTCTAACGGCTTTATCAGATACAGGGTCGTGGGGAAGCCGGGACCTATCCCGGTAAGCAACGGTCCCGAGGCACCAGGGCCAATTTTCCCGGAAGCCAATTAACCTACCAGCATGTTTTGGG